TCTTCTCTACTGCTCCCCAGTTTTATTTGCCGGTCTTCGAGTTAAAGATTACACAATTCTACACCGGTCTATCAAAAATATTTCTCGCACAAGCGGTATTTCTTATTTGCACTTGCTTAACTTTATCGCTGATAAACATTTTGCCTCTTGCGATAACTTCTGCAACAATATTCTATCAAACACCACTCACCCATTACACACAGAACTTAAACAATTTATACCCACTTCTGTAACAAGATGCCGTTATAAACTGGTGTATGCTCGTACCACCGCCTATCGTTTGTCCGTCATCCCCTATATTTCGAGATTTCTAGCTCAAAAGGCATCCGTTAGAGAAAACTTCTTGAATTGCCTACGCAATTGATATTCATTTTTACACTAGTACTCCACATTCCTTTGAATTGACGATGCTGTTTTTCACTTTTTGTGACTTCATGCAACGATAAATGCTCCTNAACTTGGACTTGACTGCACCTCTATAGTGAAGATTAAAGCAAGCCTGAGTTATCGATGAAGATAAACCATATTGCCCGGTCAAAGGCCTTAAAAGCCTGATGGACTTTCATATATCGAAGAACCCTGTGGCCTCATATGTTCTGATGAAATTTGTTTCCTTAAAAGCAGGAGAGAAAGGTCACATGTGAAATAACTATTTGGGCTCAGTGTATCATGCGTTCGCTTTCAATTTTCCCTACCTTTCTGACTGTGGGAAAAATCGGGTTATTCCCTATTCCTAATAATTTATAAAGGACCCAATCGTTAAACGACCACAACAATGCAACTATTTGAATGCTTTCTTTCTACGGACATCAGATGTTTAACAAACTGTTTGTTACGTTAGGAAACTGAACTTGAGTATTCTACAGCCTTTTCCAGCCTTTTTTCGTCACTGAGCTAACTCATTACCTTCCGAGGTATGTGGTCCAAAGGGTTTGCTTTTATTAGATCCCTTTGAAAATTGTTTTCATACGAGGATGTATTTCGTATTCAGCGTCAATAGAAGTTAGTAATAAACAGCACTTTCCGGTTGCTGGTCGCCTGTGTTACTTTGTTCTATCTGATACTTTGTCCCTCCTGCGCCCAGCATTCCTTCGCTCTTTAACCATTTCACCATCCAAAATATACTGCTATCGCAGCTTTAGCAATTGCGCACTGCTTTTAAGCGGTTCACATTAAACTATTTACCGATGAAGTAGAACAAAATCTCATTAGGTTGGGCTGNTTGGGCTGAAAATTTCATTTTCTGTGACACGATTTTTCTTCTCTCTCATCAACACTTTACGAAATACTGTTTGGCTGACATAATAGTCGTTTTCACTAACATAAAACACACCCAGGAAAGACAAATGAAGTTCGTTTTGAACGTGACAATGATTATTAACATAAGTAACCAAGATTGGTAAGAAGCACCCAATTGAGTGAGTTCGCATCTGTATCGAAAATATCCCATCCGAAAGATGAGATCAAAAGATCACCTGGTCTTGGTGCAAACTAGGAGTTGAAAATGTGCCACAGCTGAGCAATGACAGCAGTGACCTTGTCCGTATGATAAATGTGTTTTGCAGTTTCCAATTTCTGTCTCAACATTACAAATCATGAGATGGCTTGAACTTCATTTCGGTAATGATGGCAGTTCTACGACAGAATGGTAAAAATAAGACGAAAAGATTGGGGGGGGGCCTACCACGTAAATGTGACCTCTTAAGAACTGATATAAGGCCCTGTTTTTCTTGTGGTTGCGGACTATGCTGACTTGGTGGCATAATCAATCGATCACATTCCCCTCCCCAGTCCCCAAGTGAGATAATTAAGCCACACACAAACAAGCTGGCTCGTTTTCTTCCCTAATACCCTACAGTAGCATCTTTTCCTTCATTGATTACCAATTTTATTTAGGGTTCATAGGACTAGTTGAAAGTCAATTTTCGCATTCTGTTTAATAGCGTGAATCAAACTCCAAATTCCGTTGGAATTCTACCCCCTATATTTAGGCTTTCCATAAATCTGTGGTGAAGAAAAGACAAATCAATAAAACTATAGCAGCACTATTTACGAAGAAAAGTCTGAATGGTTAGATGTAAAACACAGTCAACGGCCCTGGAATTCATTACCAACTAGTTTGTTTATTATGCAAATTCGTGCTTACAATAGATTTCAATTTTTCCCCTACTAAGCTTATAGAAGGATACTATTGGAGAATACTATTCGAATAGGGTGTATTTTTTCATCACAGCATACTAGCGACTAAAATTCAGTATTACAACAGGCAAGAGTCTACAGGTGAGAGATATCGGCCTGTTTGATGGTACCAATTGCAAACGTGCTTATGTTCTACTGCGCAAATGTGAGTGATTCTCCAATGACAAGTGCCACACCAAGATTACCACTAAGTATGTCAATGCATCCATAATTCAACAAGCCAGAACAGGGGCGTCAGTTGAGACCAACTCACAGCCAGTGTGGAGCAAAGTATCCTCGGCCACAGATTCCGATCGGGAATGATCATCCAACGGATTGACTATTAGTGTGTGGCATGAAAATTTATTCAATTATTGATTGAACTGGTGATATATATATTCTAGTTTTCAATATCAAATTTACTTATCGGTTGTCAGGAATCACAAGTAATGCATATTGTTTTCTCGCATTTAATTATTTTCTCGATTGGCAAGTCACAAAGACGAATTCATTCGGTTGGCACCCAACAGTTCGGATGTGAATATGGTTGAAGACCTTTCCTCTGTGTTAATGACAGAAGTAAGATTGGTTACTTCGAGAGTGGCTGTTACAGTTCAGGGTAGGGCATGTTCTGCAACTGACAAATGTGATTTGATTACCACTTTGGTGGTGAGCTCCATGCCAAGTCAACAAGAATGAAAGGGCCCCACGGAATAGACACAAAATGAAATTGTAATATCTGCCCATCATTCGTTTTTAATAATATCCTATGGAGCACATTTTAAATAGAACACAGATTGGCGGACGAGCTCGTTTTGAGTTGTTCTTAATTATACCATGACATCGTTCAACCGTAAAAATGTTTTGGGAAGGGGGAAGATAACACTAGATTATTTGGGCTAATTCCATTGTAGGACGGAATATGGGGTTCTCAATGATAACATAGGTTTTATTAGGTTTTCCTGTCTTCGAGATGGCTCGGACTAAGAGGAGTGTGTGGGTTGGGCCAGAGTAGCTTAGACACCTACCCAAATTGTTTTGAGGCACAGGCAGGGGGTTATGCAGACGAATTCCTATCGTTTTCATATTTGCATAAGGTATGACTCAGAGATGCAATGACATATAAAGTACAGAGTGTTATGCGCAGCGTTGGGTAATACCAATACATACACAACGCTCGAAAAATTTGTTAGGGAGGGCAAGAGTCATGGTGTCCATGAGTTCAAATATGGTGAAGTCTGGATTCAATATGCTTCAACAAGTTCCAAACGGATGGAAATCAACACAAATAGGAAAGTTTGTACAACATAAATCGCATGTATTAGTTACAACTTCATGCAGAATTCCATGACTCTCAAATTCGGTCACTTGCACAAACCCAAAATAGCGTGATTGGGAATTACGGAGTATCACAAAACGTTTTTCTTAGGATGTTCTTGGTGACCTGTCCTCGTGAATTCAGCATTTCCTAACCGACGGAATGGCTTTAAGCGTCTGGACCCAGTATTCGTTCGTGCTGCGTCATGAAAACTTCACACAAATGCTCAAGGCCCTCCAAACGGACTGTGTCAGCTGTTTGCAATACAAGTGACGCAAAAGAGCATTGTAACAGGAGATACAAAGCCACTGACCGTTGACAATCTTGGCGTTCGGTCAAGCCAAACGACAATACAAAGAAATGGAGTGCACAATTGCCGAAGTAACTGAACCAATGAGTTTGACGAACGAAGTAAGCAAGTAACATTCTCATTCCGACAAGTTCAGTATTTCAAATCCATTTTGGTCGCTTGGTAACAGCCGTTTCATTCGCTCCTCTAGGTTTTCATCAACTTGCATAGATTTCATTGTGCTGATTAATGACTTCGGTCGCAATTCTCAGTCTGAAGCTTATTTCCGTCCATCTAGATTCTAGTGTTATAATTCCGCAAAACGGTGACTGGTCGAGGAAAGTATTTTATTGCAGATCACAGTTGGAATATCAATAATTTGGCATACATGTAATTTGAACAAAGAACACAACATTGCAAGCGAGCACGATTTAATTCCAGAATCATTTCGCTGCATCTCGACTGGTGCTCACTGCAGAAAGAATAGTTTATATATCATAGGTTATGACAATCTAACATAGTATCAGTTCATTCTTCCAATTATGTGGTCAACAGGGCAACGCCAGACTGATGTAGACCTCCTTCTGCTGACACAGTAGGGGCTTTCGGAGCTTAACTGCTATGGCCTCTGCAAATCTTAACAGCCGTCCATTCAGGGTTGTGTAAACAATCCGAAACGAGGTCCCACGATTAGCTTGGTGGCCAGTCTGCAGCAGATGGTGAGCAATTGATGACGCAGGTGCTCTGTGATAATGGCTTGATGGCCCGATTGTTTGTGTAGCGTTCAATCTCACGCGATCGCGTTTGACCCATGCCTACTCGAGTGGCTGGACACATACCGGNCAGCCACTCGAGTAGGCAGCTGCCTCTCTGTTCTGCACATGTAGGTAGCTCCGAACCCACATTAAAATTCATAAACTATATGGGATTTGGCGGACAGAGGGAGCGCAGATTTCAACAAGGGGTTCGGAATTTGGGTTGTTGAGAAGCGAACGATTGGATTTGCAGCAAACTACGTGCGAGCTACAGTCGCCACCAGCCGTCATGGAATGAGTTGTCCTAAATCATCACCTTTGAAAGAGAGTCGAATGGTAACGTCGCATTTTGGTACTATCATCTCCGAGGGTCTGGGCTCGATTTTTTCGCTGTACAGTTGTATAAGCGATGCTGGGTAGCCATTGAGTTTCAGAGCTTCTGTGAGCCGAATTAACTCACTTTCCACATTATCTGAAGTGCACATCCTCCTAGCTGGATCAAACAGTGTACGTACGAGNAAGTGTGCATGCTGACCGGTCCAGGTTGATTTTCGATGCCCGGACCTCGAAATAGTCCCGTCCAGTCTTTGACTAATAAGAATATCCAGAAATGGGAGTGTTTTTTCTCGGTTTCCATAGTGAATTGTATGTCCCTGTGAAGCAAATTCAATTCAGCTAACAGTATCTCAGTATCCCTGGGGCTTCGGGTGATTATTAACGTGTCATCGACGTATATTTTATACAGGACAGTGCCATCCAGTGTCTTACTGGCTTTCTTCTCCAGACTAACCATGAAAATACCAGCCAGAATAGGACCCATTGGGCTACCTATAGCCATCCCATCAAGTTATCTAAATCGCCGGCCTCGAAAACTGAAGCGTACATCCGTTGTG